TTATCATTTTTAACTGTTCTATTCTGGTCATATATATGAGATGAGCACCTACATAAATTGGAATAATAAATAAACAGATTTTTGAGCCCAACTGTTCCCCATCTCAGTTTTGTCAGATATGGAGACAAAACTCATCTGCTGCTCCCTACTAGCCATAGTCTAACATTTCTCATAATGAATTCAACAGGTACGGTAGCTACCTAAGACTGGAAAACTCCAACCACCAAAGCCCACCTGCTTGTCTGAAGCTAGAAAAAGAGACCACACGATTTCTACTTTTGAATCTCTGCAAGTGTTGCCCTCCATCTCTTGGTGCTACTCAGTGCAACTCCAATTAATTCAGCACAAACTACCACATTCATATGAACAATTACCAGCATGGAGGCATGAGGGATGCTACCAAGAAAAAGGAACTGTTTTTCACAACATCAGGTATTGAAGCCTGTGGAAAGACAGGGGCTGCATAGGATGAACCCAAAGGCCTTGAGACAAGGCTGTCCACTTTCTCCACTCTTATTTATATTAGCCCTGGAGGTATTGTTAAGGAAAATTAGGCAAAATAAAGAAATACGGGGATTGGAAATTAGGAATGAAACCTTTAAGATTCAAGCTTTTGCCGACGATGTAGTGTTGATAATGGAGGACCCACTAACAACAGGCCCAAAAGTATTGAAAGAACTAGATGAATACGGGAAGCTGTCAGGATTTAAATTAAATATGACAAAAACTAAAATGTTAACAAAAAATATCCCAATAAGAGAACAGGAGATACTAGTAAATAATTTGGGTATTCAAATAGTTAAGAAGATTAAATATCTAGGGATTTGGATTACTGCCAGATGCTCAACCTTAAAGGAAGATAACTATACACCCTTATTGACAAAGATAAAGCAAGATTTGGATAGATGGGGGAAATTGCAAATATCGTTCCTTGGTAGGATAGCCACTGTCAAGATGAGTGTTCTCCCCAAATTACTATACCTATTTCAAACCACTCCTGTTAGTATTGACAGAAAATATTTTTCGGACTTAAATGGGATAGTAAGGAAGTTTATCTGGGGAGGGAAAAAAACGAGAATTGCATTACGGTCCTTGCAGGAAAAAAGGAATAGGGGCGGATTCGGACTCCCAGTCTGGGAACTATACCATAAAGCGGCCAATTTAGTGTGGCTACGAGAGTGGGCCTTATTAAGAGATAAGAGAATTTTACAACTGGAAGGGCACGACTTATTGAGAGGCTGGCATGCCTACCTCTGGGACAAAGGAAAAGGGACAGGGATACGTTTCCACCAACATAAAATTAGAGATACATTAATGAAGACATGGAAAGAAATCAGGCATAAACATTATTTAAAATACCCAAAATGGATATCCACAATGGAGGCACTGATCGATCCAAATGTATTAGGTAGGGAGAAAATGGTCACCTACCAAGATATCTTGGATAACAGCGGTAACCTTATACCCAATGGGATGCTAAAAGAGCAAGGGATCCACATAGATTGGGGCCCTATTTACAAATTAAATCCCGTTATAGCAAAGATAAACAAGAAAAGGGAATAGAGATGGGGACAAATAGTTTGGATAAATTATTAGCCAAATTATACTCCTACCTCCTCGAATACGACAGAGAAGGTGAAATATTAAAAGATCAAATGATCGCTTGGGGGAAAAACATCGAATCAAAGATAAATCTTGATGATTGGGAAGAAATATGGAATAGCAATCTTAAACTGACAAGAGCAACAAGCTATAAGGAGAATCAGTATAAGATGCTATATAGATGGTACTTAGCACCATCTAGAATTGCTAAGATTTACCCAAATGCAAGCCCCAAGTGTTGGAAATGTGGTCACCACCAAGGTATCTTCTATCACATGTGGTGGACGTGTCCAGAAGCGAGGAAGTTTTGGAAAAAAATACAAAAATGGATCCAAGAAATATTAAAGGAGGATATTAACTTCCTCCCGGGAAATTTATCTCCTGGGAGTGCTAAAATGAACATTTGGAAAGGACAAGAAATATCTGATTATTCATATTGTCACAGCTGCTAGACTCTCCTATGCCAGATATTGGAAAGAGAAAAAAGGACCAACCGAGGAACAGATAGTCAATAAGATACTTGACTGCGCAGAAATGTGCAGATTAACGTATGTGTTAAACGGAAAGGAGGATTCAGAATTTTATACGATCTGGGATCTGTGGTATAGGTGGTTAGAAATTAAATGCAAAAGTTAATACTCATGTGGAACAATGCACAACCATTAGTTAACCCTATATATTATTGTACTCTAATTTAACAGTAATTAATTTTACACACAAGAATTTTTGTACAAACTGTATAAATAATTAGATGATTAGATACCGCACCTGTAAATATACAATATGACTACACGTTGCCGAACCGTATAGTTTGAATTGTAATATGTTCTTAACTCAATAAAACTTCATTAAAAAAAAAAAAAAAGGATGAACCCAAAGGCCGAACACGAAGCAATTCAGAGCAAGCTGCTCTTTTGGTGGTCTGGCTGAAATAGCCCGAGTCTAAGCAGTTAAGAACAAATCGCAGAAAAGGTCCTCCAGAAAAAACCAAGCAACTCCTTCCAATTGAACAATATTGTTATTATGAGCAATCAAAAGAGCACAAAAGAGAACTCAGGTCTTGGGTTCCTTACTTCCCTGCATCAGGTGCAGCACAAAAGCAGAAAATACGGTTGAAAAATTCAAGATCTAGATGGTGACTGCAGGGAATGTGAATCCCTAGTAAGTCAGGTATGGGGAACAAAAAAATAGTGGCTCCCCACTTTCATGTCTCTTTTGAAAACACTTTTGGTCTGTAACAAACCTTGTACAGGGGTGTGTGTGTGTGTGTTCCACAATGACCTGTAATCATTGGCTTGGATAGTTACAAAATGCTTTGCTGAAAGGATTGTGAAGATGTTACTCACCACTGGTGGGCTGAAATGTATTCAGATATATTTTGCTTTAAAATTAAGTTGGACGGGGATATTGAAGGACATATTTATAGGCATATACTGAACTACTACATCCAGCACAATAATCCAATTAAATAGCATTTTACTAATATTGAAACTACTATAATGTCAGTGCCATTATATTTACAGAGAAACCAGCACTTCAATATGCATTCAAAATGAGAGCTCGTTTACTTAAGGTAGTCATTGATTTACGACAACTGAGCCTGGAATTTTGGTTATGACTATAATCATTAATCGAGGCACCCACATGATGAACGAAATCTGAGCTCTCCCACTGTGGCTGTTAGGTGAGCGTATGGGGTGCATCAGTGGGGGAGGCTCTGGGAGGCCTAGCACCTGCAGGTGGAAATTTGCCATGAGTCGGGAGGCGCTGGATGGCTAAGCCCATTGGCATGCTGACCCTCTTCCCACCCACAGGTGTGGGTCCACTTACCTTTCTGTTGTCATGCTCCATTCTACAGGTGGGCCCTATTCTCGCGATAGTTCGGAAGGCTCCTTCCCCAAATTACACAATTTGGAGAAAGCGGCCTTCTGAACCATTGTGAGAGGATGCTGGCGGGGAGGATTGCAAATCATGACATGATTGCAGAGCGCTTGGCAATTAGTTGTAAATGCAAACAGGTCGCCAGCATCTGAAATATGGTCCTTTAATTGGGAAGGGGGGAGGGCAACATTTTATGATGCCCAGAAATGCTTTTACAGGTCAAAAAGCATCTGTTCTATGGCTGCCATGACTACAACCAGTCGTAAATCAAGGATAACCTGTATATCAATCTGTATATCAATCAGAATACTAGGAAAACAAGATATCAGTGTATCATTCCTAATTGCCATGCTAAGTATCCAGTAAGAACTCACCTTAAGAATTTTCACAACCACTCGCTCATTGTTAGTGATGTTTATAGCCTCAAAGACTTCACTATATTTCCCCCGGCCGAGTTTCCGAACGAGTTGATAATCGTCTTGATTACTGCAAATAGTGAGGGAGGAAAATGACTGAGAAGAGATCCTCTGCTCCCTCAGAGTGAGGAACTAGAAAAAAGACATCCTCAGGTGAGCAACAGCCATGCCTCTTCTGTATGCTCTCACTTGACCGCTCCTGCTGGAAAGGAGGATTCTACAACCACCCCACCCATCAGCATGATGGTTTTTACCTTTTTTAGTGTTGCTTGTAAACTGGTTTTGGTGCAT